ACGAGTCAGGAAGAGAAAAACTCTTACTTAGATTAAATTATTATTTCGTTACCACAATGAACATCTTTTATATTATGTGTGTTTCTCGTGGGTTCTAGAACGATCGATAAGACTCTCACGTCGCGATTGGTCTAGAGAAATCTGAAGCTAGTGGTTGTCAACATTTTAAGCATAACAAAATGTGACTCGATTTCAATGAAATGATTCACTTATGCAAAAGTATATATGACATTTTGTGAAAAATCTTTACGTGATGGAGAAAAATGTATATCATTTTCGGATTCAGCGTACAAGAATTACAGTAGCACATGTAAACATTTCAAGGCAATAAAACCATCGCAGGCCTGTGAAATTCGACTTAAACTAGAATGCTTCAGTAGCTTGTGCTCTATTGTGGAGGTAAGCCCTTGGAACGCAGCGAATGTGCACAATCCATAATAGCTATAACAAAAATAGGTGTATTCTTCACGAACTACTTGCTCAACGTCTCTTAGTAATACAGACTGTTATTACTAACAGAAAGTCAAGATGAATGCATTTTTCCACTACACTGTTGGGATTACCTATTTTATTTTATTAGCTGGACTGGAATTTTTGTCAAGCACACAATTAATTGAGTCTTTTATGTAGTCTGTCATACTCTACACTTCCATATCATGTGTAACAAGATCAATCTGCCAAGTTTCAAATAATATGTCCGCAGTCTCACCACTGAATTCAGGAGTTTTGTAGTTTAGATCCTGAATAGTACTTGATAACCACTAACATGTTTTTATCAATTTCACAGTCAGTATTTTCATCAAGTATTGAATATTTTGGTTTATCCTGGTGATATCCTTTCGAAGCTCAGCCTTAGCTTTAGCTCTTTCACAAGAAATTTACTGGCGATCTGAGTCACGAAAGCAGTTAAAAATCACCTCAGTAAAATGATCCATTACACGTAAATATATGTTATGTTTAGCAATGAATGCACACATCATCAGTTCTGCTTTCTTCACTTCATCTCCAAAGGACTTCGATTTTGAAGACTAATATTTTAGAGGGTATAACAATAATTGTTATTTATTATTTATGTATGGGCCGGATTTTTTACAGGAAATGCCTGTGACTTGTTGATGATAAATTTCAACAACAAACAAACAACACACAGTCCACAGCGACTGCAGCATAGTTTGGAATGAACTTCTTATAGTATTCTGCTAACTCTAGGAAGGATTTGACTTGCTGCTTGGTCGTTAGAGCTGGTGTATTTCGTAGGCAGGTTAGCTTTTCCTTTTCCATGGGTATCTGTTTGTCGCTCACCTTGTGTCCAACAAAGTCCAGCACAGAATAAGTGAGGTAGCATTTAGATCATCTGCTGCCCTCTCTTGCCTGAAATGCTCTCTGAGTTTCTTTAGGTGGTCTTCCCATCTAGCTGGATGGGTCAGAATGTCATCCACATGATGCTTGATGTCGGTAGTTTTGTGCAACGTCTTCCTTATCATGTTGCTGCCGAGTTGACTAACCCAAACAGCATCCTATTGAATTGGTAGCATCTGACTGGTGTGAAAAGGGATGTCTTCTCTTTATCTCTTTAGATTCTGTCTCCACCAAGATCTGCCAATAACCTATACTAAGGTCGATCTTGGTAAAGAATTTGGCTTTATCTAGTTTTGCCATGATAGCCTTTGGGTGGCCCATAGGTTCGGATATCGTCACGAGGTTCAGCTTCTGGAAATTTATGCAGAAGCAGTTTGAGCCATCTCTTTTAGTCACAATTACCACTGGTGAATAGTAGGCTGAATTCGAAGGATCAATGATTCCAGCTTCCAACATTACTCAACTCTTTGCTTGACCAGGTCTGTCATTACATAAGGCATCTGGTAGAGTTTTACCTTGACTGGATTCCTGTTCGTGGTCTCGGTCTTGTGTTGCACAAGGTCTATCTTGCCTGGTTTATCTGTGAAGATATCTGTGTACTCGCAGAGTAGATCTTGTAGCTCTTTCTTCTGCCTGCCAGTCAGTTCTTCACTGATGTTGACATCTGTACATCTCATCTCCACCCAGTGGTATGATGACTAGTAAGTCTTCATCTTTTATGACAAAGTCACCATCTTCTAGTTCTGGGTCTATGACAACCACACCTACAATGTTCATCTGTGCCTCAATAGCTGCACCTGTTAGGACTTCTTCCATCATGAAGTACCCCTTCAACAGATTGGCATGTTAGATATTGGTCTTCCCATCCTCTTTCACCTTATAGTACGTTCTAGCCGCCATTTCCTGCATTTCAAAATGTCCTTTCCATTGTAGGGTGACTTTGTTGTTGTCTGTGGATAACAGAACCAAGACCTTTTGTCTGACCTTAAAACATCAGTCTTGGGCCTTCATGTCGTAGAAGTGCTTCTGACTGCCTTGAGCTGCACTCAAACTCTCTCAAGCAAGTTGACAGGTCTCCTCCAGTTGGTTTCTGAGGTCTAACACTTACTGGTATGTGTTCCTCACTTCTGAATATTCTTCTTCTGTACAAAATTCTTTCAAAATCTGTATTGGACCTCGTAATGTTCTTTCATTCAGTAACTCTAAGGGTAAAAATCATGTACTTGCTTGCGGGATTTCTTGCCTGCAGATACCTATCCCATCTCACCCAGTGGAACCTTGGCTAACTTCCTTCTAGGTACTGTCCTTTGGCAGATGTCACATGATCTGCAGTATCTGGTCACATTTCTGATGACTTCTGGTCAATGGAAGTTGCTGGTGATTCTGTCTGCCCTCTTCTTTGCTCCTAGGTGTCCTCACACAATCGACTCATGAGCCAACTTCATCACTTGAGTCTGGTGTTCTGTTGGTACTATGATCTGTTTAACTTCCTCAGTAGAACTGCCTTGATAGACTCAGTACAGTGTTCCCTTCCAGGCCTATATTCTATAAATCCCTTTCCCCTTGTGCTCGAAATTAGGCCAGGCACAGTCCCAAAGTTTCTGCACTGAAGGGTCTTTTGTGCTTTCTCCAGTTTTTGTAGACCTACATTTGGGATGTCACTCTTTGAGACATGCAGTCACTTGATGCCTCATCAGTTTCCTTTTTGTCTGGTTTCTCCAAACTTCTACTGCCTAATATAGTGTGAATCACCAAGTCATAAATGGATGTCTTCACATAGCTCAAGGTATTCCATGTAGTATGAAGTGTCCACATTTATTCTTGCTATGGGAAACTTTTTCACTGTCTGATCTATCAGCATACACAGATGTACTTTGCCTGTCATCTGGTCATCAGATACTACACTAGTTCTCACTGCTGCACCCAGTGTCTCATAGGACTTTCAATTTCTTGTCCCCAACATAGCCTTCACCTACTGGCTTGTAGTTTGTCGGCACTTCTTGATGTTTGTCACGTGCTCCAATCACCACTGGCACTGTCGACCCATTTCCTAATTTGTGTTTACCATCAATCATGCAGTGTTTGATCATGGTGATAGCACATCCTTCTTGACGAGTTGTTTTCATTTTGTTTCTTCTGGCAGCAGCATCTATGGTGACTCTTTTCTTATTTTTTGCCTGAATCGTTGCAGGTAGCTCCAGCTGCTTTATGTTTGCTGTTGGTTGCTGGTGACAGACTTGCACTCACTTGCAATGTGCCCCATTTTATGACAAGCATAACATCTCTTCTTTATTTTGTCTATTGACTTCATGTCATCTTTTGTGGAATCCTGCTTCTGGTCAGTCTCCCCTGGTTTTGGCTTTGAATTGTTATTCTTGGACTTGTCAGTTATATTCCCTACATAGGCTTCCATATACTGTTTTGCCAGCTTGATTATCTCATCCACATCTTTCAGAGCATTCTCTTTTTGGAACAGTGACATTTAAGTGGAGCACTTGATTATGAACAATTCACGTATTAGTAGATCTGTCAGTCCTTCAAACTATCTTCTCACTTGGCCATGTTAGTCCACCTTGTGACGTATCACTGTACATGTGCCACAAACTGAAATACAATTTCTGCAGTGTCAGGTTTGACTTGTCTGAATTCCTGGTGAAAACTTTCCTTGGTAAGTTCATAGCATTTCAGCAACGCCACTAATAACTTGTCATAGTCCATGGCATCTTCTGACATCATCCCCACATACACTTGTAGGCTTTTTCCTGTGAGAAGGGGCTGAGACAGACTGCCCATTTGCGTTTTTCCCAGTTCTGACTTTGGGAAAGCTTCCATACCTCTCCAAGAAAGCATCCATGTCGTCTTTCTGTTCATCAGATTTGGGCAGCTTGTCATTTTTGGGTTCTCTGTCTTTCTGTTGGGTGAGCTTGGCAATTTCAATTTGTGCTCTTATTCTTTGTATTTTAAGTTTTTCCTCTCTCTTCTTTTCTTCTTTCTCAATTTATAGGCCGAATTTTTTACAGTAGGTGTCTGAGACTTATTGACGATAAATTTAAACAATAAAGAAACAGTAACACAGTCCACTTGTTTAAAAATATTATATTAAAACAAGTCAAATGTATATACAAATGTTCATTACACTATTGGTCCACACAGACTTGTTCAGTTAATTTAGAACACAATTTGACAAGACGAATAATTCTTCCCGCTCTATTATTACAATACAGTGTGTGATCATTTCACTTTATAATAACCACTATAACTGTTGGTTATTACAGTTGTATCCAGAGCTTTAAATAATTTTCTCTTTTTCCTTAAAGTCCACAGAGGCTGGTTCATTTACTTAGAATACAATTGACAAGACAAATTATTCTTCTCTACTCTGTGAAAATTTCTCTTTAAAATTCGCCACTATACACTCTTTATGGCTAAACTCCCAATCACATAGTCTAGATTTAACTTAACTCTCAAACTAAATTTTCAACTCGTATTTATACCTTGAAAGAGTTCTAGAGTGTTCCACACACAACTAACGATTATGATGCAATAATATTCAAATAAAACAACAACAAAAATTCCGAAGGTTCTAGTAGCATGACACAATAATATAACAATCACAATTCATAACTATTAAACTAAACAATGTATGATTCATATAGAGTTACATAAATAAACATGGGATATACTATCACTTGTAAAAATAACTAAATTTATCAAATCTCCTACTGTCTCTAGTTATTAACTTTTTCTTTCAAACCTGTTTCTAGTGAAGCCCTCAGTATGGGGTCATCTCGACCATGGCCAGAAGTGATGAAGTTATTGACCGGTGAGTCTACTATGAATGGAAAATCCTTAATTTCATACTTCGAGCCTTTGGAGATTTGGTTGGACAGTCAACTGAAAGATGAAGTTATTGGTTGGCCTGACGCTAAGCGTGAGTATCATTTCTTTTCGATCTGTTTCATTTTAGTAAAGTTGCCCCTCAATCTTCATTTTCATTTTTTTGTTCTGGAATATTAAAAGTTTACAGCACAGAATGTTGAAGAAATAGACAAGTACATGATTTTTATAATTATTTCAATTTAAACAACAAAAATACATAAAACTTTTGGAGTATTTGTTTTTCATACATCATCAAATTACAAAGGTTTTCTAAGCACAAATGCCCTTAAATATTAAAATATAATCGGAATTTGTAATATTATACCTATGTAAAAACATTATTACGCCTATGAAATAATGCTATCATTCTTCCCCATTTCATTGTTATGAAAGACTGATAAGTATCGTAATCTGAAATTCAAATGTTTGGCCATTTACAATATTTGGTAGCTGTGGTTTTCTCTTATACAGTTCTTGACATTTTTTCCAATATGAAGTACAGTCACCATTAAAAACAGCAAAGACACTTTAATACCAATGCTGCATGTTTAAAATCAGTATTTGTAAAGTCTTAGATTACAATTATTTTTCTGCAAGAGCTGTTTTCTTTAATGTCTGAAATCATTTGTTGGAATTGGACGCGTTTCCTAAAAGCATCCTAAACAACAGGGTAGCCAACACTACATAGAAGGAGGGATGCATTTTTAAAGCGATTTACATGAAAGTAAAATGTTTATTTATTTTTAAAATCAGATTACAGTTGAACTTTTATACTTTTTTAAAAATAATATTGGGGTGGTCATTCGACCACCACCCCTTTATTGGCTATGCCTCTGCTATACGTGCTTAATGGAAGTGAAGGCTGGCGAGCGTGAAGGTTACTCTATTCATCTAAATTCTTGTTCGTCAAGGAACGTTTGTCATAGTTTAATACAGTGGGGATTATCACCAGCAATTGGTTGCACAACGTGTTATAGGATGTGGTTCTTATCGTGTAGCATTAATGGTACCATTTTGCCGGATGTAGTATAGAGTCGCCAAGTTTACCATTTCTCACGTCATACTTTCACCATCATAATATACGTCCCTATGCGTAGACCTAGTTCCAGATTCTCTCTGAACGAGTATAATCCTGGCTTCTTGCTTCTTTGTGGTGAAGCACACAATGCATATGGAAAACAGAATGCTTATCAACATGTTGTTTATCATGTGAACGTGTTATTGCACCATTGTAGGTGAGCTGTTTTGTTCTCTGTTATGAATGCAATGAATCTCATTGAACGTCTGGTATAGAAACTGGCCTTATGAAATCTGTTTTGACCATCTGTACACTGTTACTTTTAGCAATGTTATTTGCAAAATAATAAAACACCTTTAACCCTAGAACGTCAGCATGGTGTCACTATGTCCCCTTACCACTAAATGTTAATTATTGAAAATTTAACGCTGGCATTCTAGGGTTAAGGGGTTGGAGTGATAAAGAACGAATCCTGAAATTATTTATTGATAGAATGTTGTTTTCTATATATCTACTAAATATTACAATGAACTGAGGAAAACCAGGATAATAAATGCAGTACATTTGAAGAGAGAATTTTGATTTAGGTTATTTCATGACATATTTAAATGACTATAAAACAGTAAGAACTCTCTCTATAATACCTATGCATATTATACTGTATACACTGTTATATACTACATATATATGTTGCTACATATTTCAGTTTCAAATCGCCTAAAACTGAGTTAAAGTGTACTTTGGTTTAGCAGTTAAATAAATACCGATATGTATCCAATTTATGATATTTGCCAACAAGATTGATACACACAGTTTTCTTTTTAATACAAATATATTTTAATATACAAACAATAATACAATTTACAATAACAGTTATTACAAATAGTTATTACACACAATGATTTATATTCAAAAGTTTTACAAACTTGCAAATAATAGAGAGTCTTCTTTCTGGTCTGGAACTTCCTATGATGTCTTATCAAGGGTTCGCGATGAGTGAGTTAATTTCGAATTGACGATGTCTTATCAAGGGTTCATGATGAGTGAGTTAATTTCGAATTGACGATGTCTTATCAAGGGTTCATGATG